GCGAAAGGATTGCGGTGATTTTTACAAATTTTTTTATCTTTTTTTATGTGAGACCGCAGCTAGCAAGTTGTCACCACACCTAATCAAGAGTGGTAGGAGCTTTTACAAATTTTTTTTATCTTTTTTTATGTGAGACCGCAAGTTGTCACCACACCTAATCAAGAGTGGTAGGAGTTTTAGTGGCAGCCAAAACACTGTTTACTCAATCAGATAAAAATGAGGGGATGTTCCGCACCGCCGCCCCAAACAAACTCAAAATTATCCAGTTCTGAGTTCAAATAGGACTAGATCAATGATTTCGAGTGTAATTGAATACTTTATTGAGTTAATTTGAGGACTAATTAATCTATAAATTTGACATGCTTATAATTAAATCGAATGACTAGATTTAAGAGATCCAACAAGCCCAAGATCCCCAACACTCATCTCAAAGTAATATAATAAATCTGCAATATAAATGATCGTTTTAAGCGCATTTACTTGGCCAAATATTTAATAACCTTTTTTCAGAAAATTAATTGTCAAATAAATACAAGCAATTTGATAAGAGTATGCTAATATAATTTTAATTAAATAACGGCTTTGTCTGTTCATGACTCATGAGAAGGACAAAACTTTGATAATAATGAATGTGGTCCCCACAATCACTTCAGAAAATAGACTTGATTTGGACTTAGAAAAGGATGTCTTATAATCCAATAGAAATAGTTATTATTTCATTGATACATTACAATAAACTACATTTTTATTATATATTTTGCATTGTTTAGGGTATAACTGCAAATGAAAAAGTTAGTCTTTCCTTAATAACGTGTGTTCGTGATCCGCTCATTAAGTAGCTCGTATTTGATCTCATCCTTAACAAATTAACCGAATACTTGCACCAAGTTCAAATAACATTTCTAACATATTATAAGAGAGATGTACATTAAATAGAAGAACAATCATATATTGTTGCATATTGGAACATTTGTGGAGATAGAGAAATAATGCAACTTCCTAACGTTGTGTGAAACTCATCGCACACAGATAATGAAAATGGGCATGACCCACCAACAAAATTTAATATGGAAAACCCGAAAAGGGAAACAACCAATGGACTTGATTTAGTTAAAATGATCCACTATAAGATTTCAAGTATTAAAGTAAACTATTATTCCGCATCTGATGCGGAAAGATCAAGATGATACATCAATTACAATGTTTGTCCATATATAGTATACAAAAAGATTCATCGTATTCTGAATGTGGTACTCGAGAAGGGTTGCCACATGGAGATATTATCAGAACTTTAATCCACCATGTTAGATATGTGTCATTGCAGAGTATTTGGGATACTTCGCTACTCAACAGTCCACCAACTACGGCGAGCAAGGGCCAGTCGATAATGGTCAACGACAAGCATCGAGTAGTGGTCGACGACGGTCTGCAACTATAGAGGCGGGGATTTATCTAGTGGCCTTTAGTCCTAAACAACATTGAACATTGACTCCTCTTTCATTTTTTTTTTCTCCTCCAAGTGAGGACGTGTATTTATAGGCCCTGGAGAATGAGCATTTCATCCATTTGGCAAATAACCACCATAACCACTCGATCGAACGACTCATATTGATTCCCCTTAATTGTAAAAGATTTTTGATGATCTGATGGCCTTAATGACCTTAGAATTAAGGGAGTTTAGACTTGCTATATTCCTCTCATTTAGACGTTAAATTTGATTATAAGCAGGTCAAAATTAGAGTTTATTTGACCCTTCATTAGTTGTCTAAAGCCTCAAAATGTGGTTCAATGACTTGATCCATGCTTGATTGGATTTGATTTAGATCAATTTTAGTATCATTGAGTTCATCTCATCAAACCGGTCAGTTTTACTGTAAGTTTGTTGAAATAGGAGCTGGTAAAAATGACTTGAAACCTGTGCCAAAAGCCTCGAGATTCATGTGAGATGGTAAAAATTGTTGATGACACAACATGTGTGTGTGTGTGTTCAACCCAAAATTGTATGTGAATTGCACCGAAGAAATAAAGTGTGGTAATGAGAGAGAAATGTATAGAGGTGAGAAATGAGTTATTTTTTGTGATGGTTTCAATAGCCCCTAATATATTTAATGTCCATCTGTTTATAGAAGATTAAAGATATTATAAAATGATAATTACACCCCCAATCAGTCGACTTTGAGAAATGAGGTTGGCAGGCCTTAGGCGGGCCACCTCCTAACCGACCGGAATCTCGGTCAGTCGACCTCCTGTTCGACTAATATCAGCCTAATCGATAACAACTATTTGGCCATCCTCTAGATACCTTGAACTATTTTGGTAGAGACTCGTCTGACGACATATATACCGTTTTGAACGGTTAGATTCACAAAAGATCTAGGTAAGGGTATTTTTATTGTACTATATACATATAACGTGCCGCTCATGCGAAAAAAATTTCCATGAGAGATTATAATCATGCCAACTTTTGTCTCCAATCATTGGTGTGTTGATTTATTTTTTATGTTTTTATAATTCTAAGAACCCCACAATATTTATTGAGTCTATTGAGGTGAAATATCAATGATCGTTTCAATCAATAGCAGGATCATCATCACCATCATCACAACCACCTCCATGGCTCCATCAATTTTATTTTATTTATTTGAAACCGATTTTATCAATATTTAAAGTTTATTTTTCCTTGCAAAATATCTCACAATTTTTTTTTTTGCAAATTATATCTAAATTATTATTTATTTATTATTTTCATCCATTTACATCAATTCATGCTTTTTTTTTATTTAATTATGCCACTTCAGCTCTTTATTTTGCACCAAGCACTTAAACTTTCATATTTGCAATCATGTCACTCAAATCTTAACATTAAATAAAAAATACCATCATCTCTCTCCTTAGAAATCTAATTCAAATCAATGAACCCTAATTGTTCAATTTTAATTTGATGTATTCAATCAATCGCCTCTTCCTTTGCTTGGGTTCTAAATCAAACATTATCACACAAGATGCAGTTTTAAAAATCTAATTAGTTCATATTAAATTTATAATTTCAACATTAATCCTTTCTTATTTCTAATTTATAACAATTTTTTTTTTCTACCCATCGAATATTCCAAATTAAAAAACTATCCTAACATGTTAGTTTAGTATTATTATACTATAATTAAAAATATTAAAGTTGTAGATGCTTCCTACCTAGCAAACTTGCTGTTTTTGTTTAATCCCCAACATCATTATCATTATTACCTAGCACTAAAGATTCATTATCACTAATAATCTTTTATAATCTTTCACCAACCATACAGTGTTATAGTTTTTTAATATTTCATTAAGGGAAATTTACATAAATACCACACGATTCTTACATATTCGCATCTAACTCCTGAACTTTCATATTTATATGCACACTAATCAGATCTTTAACATTCATCTTACTAACTTTTTAGAAGTAAAATATACATTTACATGCATAATTTTATAACACCAGTGTTATAAATATAAATATTAAATTTTAGATATTAGATATGTAAATACATAAAAAAATGTGTGGAATGTATGTAAAATTCCCTTTTTTAAAATTTATTTTTGATGATTTTCTTTCCTAAACATTCATTCCATTTTCATCTATTATCTACCATTGCATCTTCTTTCATTCCCTTCCCTATAGCTGAGCACGAATATTGAGGTATTATCATATGGACAATCCGACATGATCAACACAAACTATATGGCAAATCTTTTGATCTCAAAGTCAAAATTAACCATAACTCCCAATCTAAAAATCAAGCCACTAATTCTATGTATTCAAAGGGGGCTTAAAGAGAATTGTGATTGAGAAAAATTCAAGACCAACATCTAAAGCTATGTATTCAATACAAACACTTGAGACATTATCATTAAGCATAACTCCCGTTGTCATCAACAAGGCCGACACTTGTTATCACGTGTAAGTTTGATGCCCTCAATCATCATCAAGGCTAACCCATGCAATCGCCAAAAAGGTTGGCGCCTGCAGTTACCATCAAGAAAATTGACGCTCATTATCTCTATAAAAATCAATGCTAGCCTTCTTCTAGTCTATGTTCTCATCTCATAATAGAACGATCGAACAAACCGCGAAAATTCAAATGTCTTAAGGGGCCTCCTACTAGCCCATAAAATCATCTTCGAATTTCATATCTAATTCCGTTTTCATTAACATTTTCTTTAGTCAAAAGATATTGCATCATTTATAATATAATGCTTCATTACTATTGAAATCATCATCCCAACATTTTCATATAAAAATCTCTATATATCTCCTATGAACTCAAGTCATACAAATGCATGCCATATTTTCATTTTAGCACAATAAATTTCCTATTAATTGCTGAGAATATACCAACATGCAAGGATAATCATTCACTAATTTATCATTTCAATTTTACCAAACAACCAAAAAAAAATTTTAATACCCTAGCACTCAGATCAATACAACATAGCCAATCAAATTCTAATTTTATAAAATTTATCTTAAACCATCATTATTATCATCTCCTTAAACATCTCTCATTCAAACAACTCACCTTCTATAAATATGATGTCAACATCTATATCACCATCTTTCTGCAGTAAATCATAAAAAAGGGAACATTTACATGTATACCACACAATTCATATCTATTTACATATCTAACCCCACCCACAGTTTAATATTTACATTTATAACATCTTGATGTGATGTTAAAAATTTTAGTATGCATGTAAATATAAATGTTTAGGTGTTAGATATGTACATACGTAAGAATTGAATGGTATGTACCTAAATTACCCAAAAAAAAAAAACATCTAAACTTGAATAAAAAGAACAAACCCAAAGAACCCAGTTGAAGTCAAGAGAAAACATTGACACTCTACCTCCTTTCTCCCAAACACTTAATAGGCTCAATGTTGAAGAAATTAAGCAAATAGCCCGTTCTATGTAAAAATTAAACAGCTACTGCTAGTGCCAAAATAAAAAATTGTTTTAGGAATTATTTTGCAATTAAGTTCAAATAGGCACAATCAGATAATAAAGTAAGAACACTCTGAAGGCATTGCATATGGCGACAGATATTTTTATTGAAGTAAATGAAATCGGTAAAATAAGACGGGAGAATAAAATTTACTGTGGTGGGCCATACCCCCAGTAGTCATTACGGATTTCATCGTCGAACTTTTGCTTGAGTTCTGGATGCTTCTGGAAGTATTCCTCAGCAGTCATGGTCGATATTTTTTGCTGCAAAAATTTACGGTTAAATAAACATCGAGGATTATTTCAGCTTTAATACTAAAAGAAAGTTAGAACTATTTTGGCACTTTATATATTTAGCATCTAAACTTTCATATTTACATGCATAACACTCAAATTTTTAATAACAAATCAAAATAATATTTCACCAACTCGTTGAAAGTGAAATATACCTTCTCATACATTAAGTTCATCACACCAAAAAAAAAAAAAAGAAAATATCGAAGTGTTAGAAATGTAAATACATAAAAATTGTGTGCAATGTATGTAAATTTCCCAACAAGATTTCATGCATTCATGCAATAATGTTATGTGTAAATATATAGATATTGTGTGGTATGTATGTAAATCCCCCCCAAAAAAATAATTAGATTGTGAATCAACAAATGGGGACTCTCACCTTCAACTCTCGAACCTCGGCGATTTCCTTTTCCAACCTTTCGCTCTCCTTCAGGGATGCCTGTTCTGCTTCTTTCAGCTCTACCAACTGATGAAATGAGACGGATATGAGGTTTACAAAGCCATACAAAATATTACTTCCTCCACCAATTCAAGCAATCCATGCAATACACAGGTGACAATATATATATACATATATATATATATATATATATATTCTTGTAATTATTGTAACTGTTTTAGAAGTTGGATACGTAATTGTTTTAAAATTCATTATATAGAATCGATTAAAAGCATAAATTTGGCAAATTGCAAAGTTATTTCCAAAATAAGATAATTAAATTTATTAATAGTCATAATATAATTTAAAAACACTTGGTTCAATCAATTACAAACTTTTCATATTTGCAACTCGTTAACAATTAAAATCGATTCTAATTATATTTTCTAAAATAATTCTAAAAACTTGCGATTAATTTAGACCCTTTAATAATACTTAATAGACTTTTTTTTATATTTCTAAATTAATTAAGAATCATTAATTAACAATATATTTTTTATTTTTAATTGATTCTTTAACTTTTGTTATTATTTTTTCATAAATATTTAAAATTGAATTAAATCGTTCAACAGTTGGATAAAAGCAAATTATACATTATTATTTATATAATTATATTAACTTATTAAAACATACTGTAATATTTGGAACAGGACATGATGTATCTATTATATCAGATATCATAAGATATCATATAGATTTAATAAATGCAATTTAACAATCTTTTAAAACAACTTTAAAAAAATACATTCTTTCAATTCAAGAAATTAAAATTTTAAACATCTGAAAATGACTCAATTTTAAAATGCTAAACTTCCTCACTCATTATGGCTTCATAATATGTATATAAATTAGATAGGTTTTATTTATGTGTTTTGACATTCTCTTTATGATGACTTGCAAAAAAAATACATTCATTTCTATTAACGTAATAAAATTTTAAAAGGAATTGTCTACCTCAATTGAATCTTAAAAGGTAGCTTAATAATATGTATATAGATGTCATATTTTAAGCCTATCCAAACAGTTTTTGCCATTAGATGAAAAGATAAAGAGATAAAAACAAGGGGCATTTACATACATACCACCCAATTCTTATGTATTTACATATCTAACAGCTAAACTTTAATTTTTACATTTATACCATTATACCACCTAAATCCACCTAAATCTTTCATATCACATCAAAAATACTACTAGTGAAATAAATCTTTTCATGCATAGGTAAGGTGGCATGCATGTAAAAATTGAAGTTTAGGAGTTAGATATGTATATACATAGGAATTTAGTGGTCTGTATATAAATCTTACCAAATACAAATGAAGAACAAAGACGGTCTTACCAGAGCATCAAACTTAGGTTTGTATTGTGGAGTCACAGTGTCAACAAACTTGGGTATCTCTACGCCTGCAAGATTGAAGTTTAAAAAACTCAGCTAGTAGGGTTAGTAGCATGAAAGTTGGAGCTTAAAAATCTTGCATCAATAGCCAGACAAAACATTCCAAGTCAAGAACCCAACGAAACATCTCCCATCTAAATTATTATCATTAAAAATAAAAATCAACATCATTAGTCTTGCGGCACTTAGCCCAATCATTTAGGGTTGATTTAAAAAATTTTTATTTCCATTCATTAACATTCTGCGCCACACAATATCTAATTATATTATCTTAATCTATAATTTCATAAATCTTTCATATTAATTTAATACATCTGTTTTAGTAATGCATAGTCTATATCATTTGTTCTGCATGTTCTGAAGCCATTCAAATATATATTTTTACTAAGGAACCATATGATTTGCTGAAAAAGGAGTGCAGTGTCATTGAAATGTAGTGTGAATATTTTAGAGTTGTTTAGTAAAGTCTTATAAAAAAAAGAAGAAAGAAAATTACCTTTTTAAGTTTAATTTGATGAAAAATAAAAAGACCAATGGATGCCGACGGCAGAGTGCTAACTGGTAGCGGTAGAAGGCAAACGGCATCAAATGAAGTGGCATGCATTGGCCGTGAAGGATTTTTCTTTTTCATGAAGGCTGAAGCGGCTAGCGCTAGCCGGAGATAGAGGTGGCGATGGGTGTGCGGGATGAGGCAGAGGTGGCAGGGACGTTGGAAGTGGTGGTTATGACGGTGGTGGCCGTGTATTTAGAAATAAGCCAAACGACCAATTCTCAAATACATCAAATTTGACAAAAAAAGGTTTTCAAATTCACCAAAACCTTATATTGCATTCAAATTACATCCAACCAAACCGCTAAATTTTCCAATTACCTATATTTGGTTACTATGCACCCATAAAGCATCTAACCAAACAGCCCTCATGTTATTTCCAATAGATTCTATTCTCAATCTCTCTTTAAACAAAAATGTCTATCCTAATTGGAACACCCACAATCAATATAATAATCTCAGCTTTGCATATTTAATATGACAATTAGTGACTTTTCTAATACCTGCTTCTCCACAATATTCTCTCACTTGAAGACCTGCCAACTCTAAAAAAATACAGACCCAAAAGAGTTGAATCTATAGCTCATGGACCTACATTTTAGATATCCTCATTTGCATCATTATGTTTCGACATAAAACAGATGTAAAATACTTGACTCTACAAAACTTAGGCAAACACTTTAAATATCAGCATAACCATTCAATCAATAATTGCAATGATTGATGATATATAACACAAGGAATTGCATGAACTTTCAACAACATTGACTAACAATCTTTAATTTCATTCACATCACATTCCTAACAATTTACAAAAGTACCCAAACAAAAAATTGGCCAATCAATAAAATTTTTCCCCTAAATACGATCCTATTGAGCTGCTGTCCTTAAGTAATAAAATTAACTAATCAAATATCATGCAAAAATCCAAAAACATAAGATGCTGCATTGTGTCTCTAACTGCCTGTAAAATATATTAACCAGCAACATAAGATATTTTTGTAACAAAAACAATATTTTTTTACTGAATATCTTACAGCCATTACTTTCACGTACCCTTGAAAACTCTTGACATTGATGCAACAATAAATAATAGCTACACAAAAGACATCAACGATTGCAGAAGGCATCAAATATTTCTGCTGAATTTCAAATGCTTTATCATTCTTATGATGAAATAACTTAAAACTATTTCATTAATGTCGTGGCCATAGTATACGACCATAAAAAGTTAATGAAACTAACGAATTAACATGTAAATCTAGGATATAAATAACCCTTCATACAGGAAGATATGCGGCATTTATTTACATTACACTTATGGCTAACTCCAATGATTATCACCATGTAATTCAAAGAACACCTTGTGCTATGAAGCATTTTCTCCAGTTTTAATGTTATCAATAGTTATTAACTATGCCTACATACATGAAAATATATCATATATACATATTTTAAATTCATGCATTAACGGTCGTTTGCTAGTCCATAAATGTAACCATGTCTATGAATGAAGTTTTTTTGTATTTCTTTTTCGTGTATATGAAGCTCAAATGGTTCAAAGTCTCAAGAGAAAGTCTGCATAAGTATTCCGTCTAAATAATGAACGAGTTGTTCCCATACAATAACAAGAACAATAAAGCCTTAATCCCACTTCGTGGGGTCGGCTACATGAATCCTTTTTCTCCATTGCGTCCTATTTAGTGACATATTTTCATTTAGTTCTAATAAATTAAGATCATTTTTATACAATAAGCCCAAGTCTTCCTAGGTCTACCTCTGTCTTTCTTAACATAAGTCGAATCTAAAATATCCACTCTCCTAATCGGATCATCAAATTGTCGAACTTTAATGTGATCAAAACATCTAAGACGACTCTCTCTAATTTTCTCTGTCACTGGAGCTACACCAACCCTATCACGGATATATTCATTTTGCATTTTGTCTCTAAGTGTAAAGCCACTTATCCACCTAATCATTCTTATCTTGGCAACATTTAACTTAGTATTATGCTTCTCTTTTAAAGGCCAACATTCAACGCCACAGAGCATTGCAGATCTCACCACCCTCTTATAAAATTTTCCTTTCAGTCTAAGCAGTACTTTTCTATCACACAAAAGGCCAAAAGCATTCCTCCATTTCAACCAACCAAATTGAATTCTACTATTAACATTCCCGTCGATATCACCATCACTTTGAACAACAGACCTGAGATATCTAAATCTTTCACACCTTTTAATAATTTGATCACCCAAAGTTACACTTTTGTCACTAGATCTGCGGCTACTAAAAGTACATTCCATGTATTCAGTTTTAGTTCTACTCAAATGAAGGCCTTTAGAATCCAATGTAGACCTTAATAATTCAAGTTTTTCCTAGGCTTTTTCTCTCGTCTTATTCATGAGAAGGATATTTCACAAGAATATCATCAGCAAAAAGCATACACCAAGGTACATCATCCTGTAAATGTCCACTAAGACAATCCATAACTAAAGCAAAAAGATATGGGCTTAAAGTCGAACCTTGATGTAATCCAACAGAAATAGGAAAATATTTGGTCAATCCTCCTCCAATTTGAACACAAGTAACAGCTCTAGCATACAAATCTTTAATGACTTGAATATAAGTCATATCAACACCATTCTTCTCAAGAACTCTTCAAAGGACATCTCTTGGAACCTTATCATAAGTTGTTCCCATAAGAAGAATGAATCATAGGCTCATCTATTTAATAATAGAAAAATTTACATACGTAGTACACAATTCTTATATATTTAGTTCTCTCACACCTAAACATTTATATTTACATACATAGCACTTTGGTGCTTTAAACAAATGCATGACAAGGGCTATTTCGCTTTTAAACTAGTAATTTTATGGGGTATTAAAGATTTGCACGCTATGTATGTAAATATGAAAGTTTAGGCTAAACATATGTAAATACAAAAAAAATGTGTGCAATATATGTAAATACCCTCTTACTAATAATATGCCTTTGCATTCAAATAAAAAAAGAGTAAAACAGCTGAACTTGAGGAAAACAATAGAAAACATATAATCTCAACGGCATCATCAAAACAGAAAACATACTGTCATAAGCTTCCTTATACATATCGACCACACGAGGTCCAATTCCTTTTCTGTAATAATCCCAATCAATGGGCTCCGGCTCCTACACAATTTGATGAAAAGCATATGCATATTAATCAGTTGCCAAGCAAAACATTAAAAATAAGGGGCATTTACAAACATGCCACCACACAATTCTTATGTATTTGCATACCTAACACCTAAATATTCATCTTTACATGCATACCACTCAAATCTTTAACATCACATCTAAAATGCAAGCATCACTATCCTTTTAAAAGTCAAATACACCTTTTAATGTAGACTTATGACACCAAGGTGTTATAAGTGTAAATATCAAACTTTAGGTGTTAGCCATGTATATACATAAGAATTGTGTGGTATGTATGTAAATTTTCCTAAAAAATAAATTAAAAGAAAGGTGCCCTCTAAATAAACATGAAAATAAACTGCTTGAAGAGAAAATCTAATTTTTAAGAACGGATAGAAGATCATAGTCCTTGTAGTTCAAGAAAGAACAAATATTTAATGTAAACAAAAGATAACTGCAGTGTTGAAAATGTGAGGTCAAGCAAGAGATTGTTGCAGGAAATACGAAGTACATGGGCAATGAAACATCATATTCAATGAATTAGAAAATTATAAATTAAGACATATTTGGATCCCATGTCTTTTCAATTAAAAATGAAATTTATATACATAGCAGACAATTCTTATGTATTCATATATCTCACACTACAACTCAGAACCAAAATCAGCGAACAAACCATTCAAAACGGCAATAAATAGATGAAATAAACACAAAAATGGGTTGCACTTACAACAATCAAAGAAAAACAAGCAAAAATACACGGTTGGTCTACTTTTGAGAGGAAGATCGGCTCTCCCACACCTTAGATGTCGCTAGGAACTCCATAAGAAGAAAAGAAAATAACAGCCACACAAAAACATACATAAATAAAGCAAACCCTAGGTTCTCCCCTTGATAGAATCCCCACTTAGCATTTCAAAAATTTTTCATCCTATTTTCCCTCCAAACTCCCTTAATTTCTCCTCCTTGCATAGGTGATTATGGCCCTAGTGATCCCCACTGTTCCCTTTCCTTCTTCTATGGCGCCCCCAGTTCGGCCTGCTTGTTGTGGTATATATATATATAAAATAGAAGAATGATTTTCGATGAAGCGAAAAATAGAACGAGCAAATTCACACCAGAAAATAGTAACACAATGGAACACACAGATTTACGTGGTTCGGCAAATTGCCTACGTCCACGGAGTTGCAGAGGATTTTATCACTTGAGGAATTTACACCAGTCGATCATCTCAACTTACAAGAGGGAACTCTCACTTCGTTGCTCTCTCTTCTTCTCTCTCTACACCGAGATACACCGAAGAAGATAAACTTACAAGATAAATAAACTCAATTTCTCTTCTGCCACAAGCCACCAAGAAGAAACCAAGGGAGAACAATCTTTTTCTTCTTTCTTCTTCCTCTACCGCAAGGAACTACTGCTTGCACTTCTCTTATTCTGTCCCGAGAAAGCCCAAAAAAAAATACAAAAGAGCGTCATGCTATTTCCTTTCTTCCTCTTCTGCAAAGCACGCCAAGACCTCTCGAATCTCTCACCTGTAGCAGTTGATCGCAGAAGATAATTCGAAGGAGGGTCAAGTTCGTAACTTAAAGAAGTAGAGGGCGTCGTTTCGCAAATCTTAGGCGGGAGCAGTTCGCAAAACTCTAAGGTCGCGGTCGCGGCCTTTCGTGATCGGGAACAGTGAAGCGGGAGCGTGATTGGGAGGCAGGATCGGGCTCCAGCTAACAAATTTCCTGCTTGGATACCGATACACATGCTAGAACGTTTTCTTCCTCGAACTGATATCCTCCACTAACAGCGTCGCCATTTTTCTTCAAACGTAAATCCTCCACCTCTGCAACTCAAAACCATTATCTTCACATCAGAAGACCAACTGAAGTTGTGCTCAACTTTAATTTCTCAAGAGTAACACCCTTAGTCAACATATCAGCAGGGTCCACATAGCCTTGCACCTCCAAACTATTTCATACGTTACTCTTGTCTCTGGGCAATATCTTACCTCTGCTGAAAGTTTTTTTCAACAAGTCTAGCCTTGTACCTCTTACTGCCATCAAGTTCAGTCTTCACCTGGTACACCCAATTGTTGTGTAATGTCTTCTTCTCTAGTGGAAGTTCTGTCAGCTAACACTTGCTTGAATTTTCATCTTACAAGATTTCCTCATAGCTCTATGGTTCTCCATCATATGTTTGTGGAACAATAGGAATGAGTGTCCCAAACTCACTCTCCTCTTCACTTCTATTATTAACAGAGTTATGAACTGTTAGCAATCGTGCATACTGTACTTCTTCAGATGTCACATTTGCGTTATAATTCTCCATATTCTTGAGGTTCCTGTAGTTCCTCTTTATGTAGGTAGTCTTGCCGCAATTCCAGCAGGTTGTCTGCTGACCAGACATTGATTTTGATCTCTCTCTATTTGAGTTCAAGTCTTGTCATCTTCCTCTGAAATCAACATTCAATGTCAGCTCCTCAGACAAAATCAAATCACGAATATCATCATATTTTAGTTTACATTTTCCTGCAGAACTGCTAACTGTCATCCTCATGACTTCTCAACTATTTGACAACGATGCTAACAATATCAGCGCACGTATCTCATCATTAAAATCAATTTCATCATCTTCAGACAATTGATGAATTTGTAAGTCACTGATAATTGCATGAAAGCAACAAGAAGACTGCAAGAATGTTGTAGGAGAGATGCAGGAAAGCTGCAAGAAGGCTACAGGGAGGTTGCCAGAAAGCTGCAAGGAGGCTGGAGGGAGGTTGCATGAAATCTGCAGAGGGCCAACGACAGTGCTCAAGAAAGTTGTCGTGCTCGAAGAAGGCTGCAATAATGTTGCAGGAAAAAGCAGTGCTTTCCTTGGGAACAGCTGGCCGAAATCTGTAGGGAAAAATTTGTTGAGGATCCGACGTCGAGAAAAGCTGCCTGAGGGAGGGTCGACGGCAGGAAAATGCTGCAGGGGAAGAACCGGCTGCAGGAGTAAGCCTGAATATCTAGTCGGCAGCAGATATGTCCGCAGGAAGTTCGGGCGGCAGGAAAGGCCGCATGAGGGAATTTCACCAGCAAGAAGGACTACAGGAGGGAGTTCCAGTGGCAAGAAAGCCATCAAGGGATAGGTCTGGTTGTAGGTTGAACACAGCAGCGACTGGGACGGAAAGAGCAGTTGCGTCAGATATAGGGGATTGTCGAGGCTTCCGCGGCCGTCGAAGCAATGCTGGCGAGGGAGATGATAGCGACACCGGCGATCGAGAGGAGTGCTACAGCCTTGGATATGATTGAAGCCATTGTCGCCCTCGTGAATTCACTGAATTTGCTTGAAATGATCTTGACGATGGTGTTGAATCCGGCTTCGAAGGAAAAAGGAACAGCTGAAGGCGGGATGAACTGAAACTGCTGCAGGCGGAAGAAGATGCAACGATGCGATCGTACTCATCGATCATGTAAAGATGCAACGATTCGAGGGCTTCATTCGGAAGCTGGTAGTTGAGAGTGAAGTTTTGACCACCAAGAAGATGCCAAGATCGCGCGGCGAGCGGTGGTTTAATATTCGAAAAATTACCGAGCGGGATCGAGCTCTCTAGGGAAAGTGGAATAGGGGAAGGAGATGAACTTGGAAATTTAACAGCAGAGGCTGGTGAAGGAGGAGCTCGGAGGCTTGATCGCCGGAGCAGGAGAAGGAGCCTTCGATGGAGTAGAAGAAGATGGCGGCTTTGCACCTGGACAGGAGATGGAGTCGGTAAGCCAAGAAGAAAATTTTTAAGGACAAGGAGGGAGATTCTGCCTCTTATATGGATATGTTTGGTGTGAAAGAGATAAATTTCTAGTTGTCAAATCTAGCCATCATAAATTATGGGACCAGGTGGTACTTTTCAAGGAAATTGAAGAGAATTCTCCATAAATAGTAAGACATATTGCACTTTCTTGCAGGATTTGGGCACGAGGCTTAAAGTACCACAGGTAACAATAGCCACTGCAATGGTATTTTGTCATCGATTTTTCCTTCGCCAATCACATGCAAAGAGTGATAGGATGACAATTGCAACGGTTTGTATGTTCCTTGCTGGAAAGGTTGAAGAAATTCCTCGCCCACTGTGGGATGTAATTCTAATTTCATATGAGGTTATTCATAAAAAGGATCCATCTACTGTCCAGAAAATTAAGCAGAAGGAAGTTTATGAACAGCAGAAGGAGCTCATCTTATTGGGGGAAAGACTAGTTCTTGCTACTCTTGGTTTTGATCTGAGTTTACTCCATCCATATAAACCCCTTGTAGAAACTATAAAAAAAAATTAAGGCAGAGAACTTGACGAGCAAAACCGTGCCGCCCAACCATCTTACGATAATGAAGCTGAGAGCAGCAACAGAGCAGGAACCGCAGGCACTGTTGGATCTGTTAATCCGCCGACGGCATCCTCAGCTATCTGCAAGAATCCAGCGCCATTAAATGCTCGGGAAGCAGCACAAATTTCTCAAAATAAGCATCCTGGAACACAGCAGGCAAATATTGATGGCAACTCTGTTGTTCCTCATGAGGCACATAATTACAACAATGAACATTTGACTGTTGATGATAAGAGCACTACCTGGGAATACAATAAGGATGGTGACGGGAAAGACGTTCAAAACTATGAAGCTGCAAGTGGGGTAACTAGCGAGAAGGACAAGGCTTCTAAGAAGCCATGACAAAGATTGACAAGGATAAAGTAAAAGCAGCTCTGGAGAAGCGGTGAAAGCTCCGAAATGTTTCATCAAAGAAAAATGTGGTTTTTGACGAGGATGACCTTATTGAAAGGGAGCTTGAGAATGGAATTGAGTCGGCTTCGGTGGATAGGATACGGAAAGAGAAGCAATTATCAGAGGCGCCGACAGTAAGCGATGTGACGATATCAATCGGGAAAGGGCAGCAGCGAACTAGCTTCGTGCCCGCTCTATCGACCAGTGGAAGAACCGTCTGCGAAAGAGAAGGGAGGAGACAAAGGAGATGAA